ACAAGATTGTTCAAATTATAGCCCTGGGGTCAAAAATGGCCCCGCCCCGGGGGTCATTGATTTTCACTATGTACATATAGTAAAAACTTAAAATACCTTCTTGTAAAAACCCAAAAGGCCTAGAGCTTAGATTTTTGCATAAGGCATCGTCTGGTAGACCCTTACCAAAAATTGTTCAAATTATAGCCCTGGGGTCAAAAATGGCCCCGCCCCGGGAGTCATTAATTTTCACTATGTACATATAGTAAAAACTTAAAATACCTTCTTGTAAAAACCCAAGAGGCCTTGAGCTTAGATATTTTGCATAACGCATCGTCTGGTAGACCCTTACCAAGATTGTTCAAATTATAGCCCTTGGGTCAAAATCTGCCCCGCCCCGGGGTCATTGATTTTCACTATATGTACATATAGTAAAAACTTTAAACACCTTCTTGTAAAGACCCAAAAGGCCTAGAGCTTATATATTTTGCATAAGGCATTGCCTGGTAGACCTCTAACCAGATTGTTCAAATTATAGCCCTGGGGTCAAAATCGGCCCCGCCCCGGGGGTCATTGGTTTTCCTTATATGTATATAGTTAAAACTTATAGTAAAAACTTCAAAAAAAATTCTTCTGGCAATTGACAAATGCTAGAGGTTAGATATTTTGCATGAAACATTGTGTAGTAAACCTCTAGCAAGATTGTTCAAATTATAGCCCTGGGGTCAAAATTGGCCCCGCCCTTGGGGTTATTGAATTCAATATATACATATAGTAAAAAATAAATAAATCTTATTGTCTGAAGGTACAAGGCTTAGAGCTTTAATTTTTGTTAAATAATATCATCTAAAGGTACTCTACAAAAGTTATTCAAATTTTGCCTCTTGTGTCAAAATTAGCTCAGCCCCCAGTGGCCATAGGTTTTCCTTATATGTATATAGTAAAAACTTAAAAAGTCATCTTCTCTAAATTTACAAAGGCTAGAGTTAAGATATTTTGCATGAAACATTGTGTAGTGAACCTCTTGCAAGATTGTTCAAATTATAGCCCTGGGGTCAAAATTGGTTCCGCCCCGGGGGTCATTGATTTTCATTATGTACATATAGTGAAAAAATAAAAATTATATTTTTGTCTGAAGGTACAAGGCATAGAGCTTTGATGTTTGATATATAATATCATTAATAGGTCCTCTACCAAAGTTGTTCAACATTTTCCCCAGGTGTCAAAATTGGCCAAGCCCGGGGGCAGTGATTCTCATTATGTACACATAGTAAAAACAGAAAATAAAACAAATGTTTTCTGAATGGGAGAAAGCTATAGCTTAGATATTTAACTTGAAATGTTATTTGGTGGACCTGTATCAAAATTGTTTTGAATTAAACCCTTGGGCCCAAGGGGATAGTGACCTACTTTCTTGTCCTTTGATGTACAGCAATGACATTTTGACCATGTGCACAGTTTTAGTTGTAAAATTGAACTTTGATATCAGATGACCTAGATTTTGATGATGTGACCTACTTTCTTGTCCTTTGAAGTAAAGCTGTGAAATTTGAACCATGCGGTGGCATAGCATTTTTCTCAAATGCAATCTTGTTTTACTATAACTTAATACATAATTATACATTATTTATTTTTCTTTCATAGTTTTGTCCTCCTTACTGCGTCCAGTATTTTATTAGTCGAGCTTGGCTGTCTCCTGTGACAGCTCTTGTTTTGTCTTTGCTAGAATACTCTGTAATTCATACCCATACTCTATATCATTCCCCTATCGTCTCTTTTTCAATCATTCATATCATAATTCATACTAATAACTTCATTTGACCTGTAACACGTTGATGGGCCTCATTCACTTCATTTTTGAATTTGGTCACGCTAACACAAGAAATGAGAACTTATAGCGAGAGCTGTTGTTTTTTCATTGACTCCGTATTTCTATCTTATTGTGTGCCAACAATATATTTAAAGGTTCCTCTTTGAACGCCCTATCCTCCCGAGTGAGAACTCCCGTATATCCGTGACATAGGCACTTTCCAGTTCAGTGTTTTTTGTCAAAGTTAAGGCCCTTTAATGATTTTTATATGCCCGAAAGAATTTCGGACATAGTGACCTTGACCTTAAAACTGAAAACAGTTTCCGGAGCCTAACTTCAAGTTCCATTTGGCCTACAGTGTTCAAACTTCATAGGATGATTGTCCATATTGGGTAGAAGATCCCTATAGATTTTGGGGTCACAAGGTCATAGGTCAAGGTCACTATGACCTTAAAACTGAAAACAGTTTCCGGAGCATAACTTAAGTTCCATTTGGCCCACAGTGTTCAAACTTCATAGGATGATTGTTCATATTGGGTAGAAGACCCCTATTGATTTTGGGGTCACAAGGTCAAAGGTCAAGGTCACTATTACCTTAAAACTGAAAACAGTTTCCGGAGCATAACTTAAGTTCCATTTGGCCCACAGTGTTCAAACTTCATAGGATGATTGTTCATATTGGGTAGAAGACCCCTATTGATTTTGGGGTCACAAGGTCAAAGGTCAAGGTCACTATTACCTTAAAACTGAAAACAGTTTCCGGAGCATAACTTAAGTTCCATTTGGCCCACAGTGTTCAAACTTCATAGGATGATTGTTCATATTGGGTAGAAGACCCCTATTGATTTTGGGGTCACAAGGTCATAGGTCAAGGCCACTATGACCTTAAAACTGAAAACAGTTTCCGGAGTATAACTTAAGTTCCATTTGGCCCACAGTGTTCAAACTTCATAGGATGATTGTCCATATTGGGTAGAAGACCCCTATTGATTTTGGGGTCAGAAGGTCAAAGGTCAAGGCCACTATGACCTTAAAACTGAAAACAGTTTCCGGAGCATAACTTAAGTTCCATTTGTCCCACAGTGTTTAAACTTCATAGGATGATTGTCCATATTGGGTAGAAGACCCCTATTGATTTTGGGGTCACAAGGTCAAGGCCACTATTAACTTAAAACAGTTTCCAGAGCATAACTTAAGTTCTATTTGGCCCACAGTGTTCAAATTTCATAGGATGATTGTCCATATTGGGTAGAAGACTTCTATTGATTTTGGGGTCACAAGGTCAAAGTCACTATTACTTAGAAATTTAAAACAGTTTCTTGAGCATAACTTAAGTTCCATTTAGCCCACAATATTCAAACTTCATAGAATGATTGTCCATATTGGGTAGAAGACCCCTATTGATTTTGGGGTCACAAGGTCAAGGTCACTATTACCTTAGAATTGAAAACAGTTTCTGGGGCATAACTTAAGTTCCATTTGGCCCACAATATTGAAACTTCAAAGGAGGATTGTTATTTGAAGGAGGTTATACTTTATTTAATTCCCATGTCTTACAAATGCTTCATCTTTACTAAAAAAAAATCACTTTTGGGCATATAATGCTCCGCCTAGCGGTGCTCTTGTTATTTTTAAAGTTTGTCCAGACTAATCTTCTTATACCACTAATAAAATTTCAATGAAACTTTACAGGTTACATCTGTAGCTCAAGTACTTGCTTATATAACATGAGGTTTCCAGCTGAACAATTTATTTTGGACTGAGTTATGACCCTTCAATTAAAAAAGGTGTTTTTTATGCTAACAGCTATATAGAAGCTTGTCTGGACTTCTCCTCAGAAATTTCTGGTGTAATTTCTTCCAATATTTACAGGAATGGTCAATAACAAGTCTATTTGTGCATATCATCAGCATTTTCTTGTTCAATTTTTGTCAAGAGTTATTGCCCTTCAATGTTTTTTATTCTTAATATATGGCCGGACTACTCAACTGTTTCTCCTGTACTATTTATGAAATTTGAGTGAAACTTTACATGATTGATAGGTACCTCAAGTACTAGCACATATATATTTAAATAGGTTTTCCAGTTGAATTTTTTTTTGCTGAGTTATGGCCCTTGAATAAAAACCTTTTTGACCTGTTCATGATTTTTGTGTTTCCTGCTGCACAGTAGCTGCAACATGCTAGAAAGTAGCTGAAGCATAATGAGGGACAATAGTGGATTATCTTCCCTTGATAAAAACCGAGGTTAACCAAAATGTAAGTAGGTCCAAATATTTGGAATCCTTTGCTTTTATCGTTGAGTTTTATGTAAGACAGGTTGATATGTTTTAATCAATTATTTCCACATGCATCAACAAATATGTAAACAATAAGAAAAAAATGTTTCATTTATGTCAACAGATTCTACATCTTATCGCAATAAATAATCTGAATATTACAAATGATAATAATTAGCCCTAATTAATTCAGTTTGCTACAAAGAAATAGGCGATCAAGTCCGAGTAATCCAATAGCTTAGGACCTATCTATTTATAGGGAGTACTCAGGGGAGGTTATTCACTAATGTCCCCCATTAGGGAACATATTGGGAACAAACTGTCCAATTACCCCTCAATACAACTGCTGCATTTGCTATCATCAAGCAGCACAATGTGGTAACTGATGATTGACTCTTGCTTATAAATTTGGTTGACCCAAGCATAAATGGAATATTAGAGCAAACAGTTAGAAATACCCTGATAAAGGTTTTTTTTCAGGAACCACTCCACTCCAAACTTGTTTGTAGCAATTCCTAATTCCTACATGTAATTAAGGTTGTTATACTTGTTCAGTTATGATCTTATGGATGTTTATTTTAGACCCATTTTTATAAATCTCACTAATAAACAAGTTCTTGAAACTAATATTATTCTATTTCCATGATACGAGACAATACTGGTGTCATATGAGGAGACTGGCCCGTGTAGAGCTTGAACCCATGACCCTGGGTTGAATGACAGACGGCTTTAATAATTGGGGCACTGCTTCCCTCAATTTATTGAAATAAAAAGTTAATCATGAATAAAGTTCAAGAAATCTAATATTGTGAACAATATTTCTGTACGGTATATGTATATACAGTACTGCAGCTTTTTGACGTTAATCACTTTACGCCTATCTTTACAAATTTCCGCGAATTTTGAATTTAGGTTTAATGTTGATTTGGTTGTTTAAATCTTCTTAGGGTTAATTCGCTAAAAGTAAGATTGTCGAGAAGAAATATCAAATATTTTCCAGTTATTGAAGTAAACAATCGCAATGCAACTGATTTTGATGTGCAAATACATCAGATAAGTACGATATTTTTAATAACCTTTTGCGATGAGGTTTAAAGGCTAGAAATTTGTACAAAAAAGATTCAACACCTGGGAAGGGAGACAACTGTGTTACCAAGTTTGGGTTTCACGGTACTAAATTAAAAAAAATATTCATCAACATCTCAAGGGGGGCAGGTAATAGTAATTTTTTTCTTGGTGATTAAATAGATATTATTTTATAATAAGGTTATTGTTATATTTTAAAGTTGCACTAGCTTGTTCCCTGGATAAGATTCTAGACAAAGGTAACCATTCTGTGCCTTGTCCATAAATTCTGAGGAAATAGCTGTTTTTAAATTTTTAACAATTTAACTGTCTATTTCATAGCTGGATATAGGAGAGCTTTGTCCAAAATATTGGACATATATAAAGGCTTTTTATGAAGTTTGCTTATTGAGGAGGCTGCTGATCACTTCTTGCAAATTTTGAATTGGGGATTTTTTATTTATAAAACCTAATTAGTGGTCACATTTTTTGTGATCCTTTTCATTTTCAATATCTTATTTCCTTTCTTTTATAGCAGTCCAGGCTAGGCCTGGGTCAAGATCAGCAGAATCCACCCACTTTTAATGTAATCTTATTTTATGTATGTGCTAATATGTTCCGCATTTTTATCTAGATATATATTATTTTATTCACTTATGATACAGTATAGATCTTTTAAGCATATCCTTAGCATATCATTACTATTTATTAATTATTATTATTTTACTTTAAATTATAACATTTAGTGTCTACATCCCACATTATAGTAATTTAACTTGTCTTTTACCATTTGTCTTTCAAAGTTTATCTTAATGTGCTTCTTTTATGAGTTTTATGTTTTATATGCATGTATGTCGGTCAAAAGCTATACATAGCTTATGTTTTGTAAAATGTTATATATGTATACCGACAATAAATAAATTTTGATTTGATTTGATTTGATTTGAAACTGCTAGGGAAGCCTCTATTTCCTAGAAGTTAAAATACAACAAAGTGAAGTTTTATTTATTGAACTAATGGAGAGGTACCTATATATTCAGTAACTCACCTGGCATTTGCATCTAGACTACTGGTAAAGTTTTTGGGCAGTTAAATGCTTTTAATATTTATCTCTTTCATTTATTATACACAAGAAACGAAGTTTCGGGGGTATATAGGAGTCATCCAGTGGTCGGTCGGTCAGCGGTCCGTTGCATTTTCATTGTCCAGAGCATAACTTGAAGACTAATGGTTGGAATTAAATATAACTTCATACAATGGTCAAGCACATTGAGAGGAAGTGCAGTGCACAAGAACCATATCTCCACCTTGACTTATTACAGAGTTATTGCCCTTTGTTACTTTTCCTTGTCTGGAACATAACTTGAAAACTACTGGTTGGAATTCAAAACAACTTCATACCATGGTCAAGCACAATAAGAGGATGTGCAGTGGACAAGCACCATAACTCTATTTAAAGTATTTACAGAGTTATTGCCCTTTGTTACTTTTCCATTGCTTTCTTTTGTCCGGACCATAACTTGGAAGACTAATGGTTGGAATTCAATATAACTTCATACAATAGTCAAGCACATTGAGAGGAAGTGCAGTGCACAAGAACCATAACTCCATCTTGACTAATTACAGAGTTACTGCCCTTTGTTACTTTTCCTTGTCCGCAGCATAACCTGAAAACTACTGGTTGGAATTCAAAACAACTTCATACAATGGTCAAGCACAATAAGGGGAAGTGCAGTGCACAAGAACTATAACTAAATCTTGACTAATTACAGAGTTATTGCCCTTTGTTACTTTTTTATACAATGGTCAAGGGCAGTGTGACGAAGTGCAGTGTGGACTAATTACAGTCATTGCCCTTTGTTAATTTTTTTGTCCAGTGCATAACTTGAAAACTAGTAGTTGGAATTCAATACAACTTCATACAATGGTCAAGCGCAATGAAAGGAAGTGCAGTGTACAATTACCATAACTCCATCTTCAGTATTTATAGAGTTATTGCCCTTTGTTCCTTTTCCTTGTCTTTCTGGACCTATTACAGAGTAATTCAATAAAACTTCTTCAATGATCAACTACATTGAAAGGAAATGCAACATACAAGAACCACAACTATCTTTAATTGCCCAAACCAGAACTCTATTTCAATTCTTTTACAAGGTATTCTGTTACTAGTAATATCCTCATTTCCGAAGCAGTCTTGCGGGGGTATTAATCACATGTAGAGATAGTTCTAGTTGAATTTTGGTTAAGTTGTCATAATAAATTTTGTTAATTATGTAAGGATTTTATTCGTACAAAACACTTGTTGTGACCAAACGCACATGCTGAATAATTTAGAAGAAAATTTCCATTAAGGAAGAGGCGTTTTATATGCATCTGTTGTATAAGGTGAAAAATCAATGAAATTTCTCTCCTTTTGTTTTGTTTTAGAACCTTTTGAGTGTGTTCTTAGCTATGTTGTGAAACATTAAAGTTCTGAACAGTGCTTTGATATTTGTGACAATGGAGTCTTACTTGATGATGCTGTATGTGACCTTAGAACAGGAGTCGGCTCTCAAAAACTTCTTTGTGGATCAGGGATGGACATTTTCTAAACCAGGTAATTGGCCACATCATTGTTATCTTGTATGGATGATAACAAGATTCAAACTTTTCTACTATTTATTATAACCATTTAATACATGTTGTTAAGACCAGAGCTCAAGTGAGAATGACTCAGGTATCAGAGAGGCATGATCATATATATAACATAGCATTAATGAATATCAAGTAAAGGGAAGTTATCCTATTAACTGTACAATTAAACATGTAAAGAGTTATCTGATCTTGATATCATAACATCTCTCTTTGTTTGAAATCTGAGAAGCTCATAAACATTTGTCCGCTATAAATGTCAATTTATTCTTAGAAAGCATATTAAGCAATTAAAGTAATGTCCATGTCAAGACTGACATCAATTAATGAATTTGAGATAAACACATTTAATTATTTGATGTACATAAATCCTTATAACCAGGATAAGTTTGTGTATATATTCCTATTATGCAGCTGAATGTGACTGTGACAGTGTGACCTGCATTACAACTTCTTCTTCCTTGAATTTGGAATGGATCATTGCACAATGCATGACCGAATGTTTGTGTAAATAGTTTGAAATTTAGGTTCTAAAAAAGCTTGTCTCTTGTTCCCTATTTTGTCCCAGCTCTCATTTGTTTACTGTGAAAGTAACATATTCATAATTATGCAACTGATATGTACAAATATTTTTGTTTATTTTCAATAAAATTAACTTATTGCCATAGGTGATGGTAGATTTTTTTGAAAACTTTCATTGTTACTGATAGTTAATAAATATTTTCAGATTTGTCTGTCACAACTGATGAGATAGGCCCCTCTGTCAAAGATGTTTCAACTGAAAACTCATTGATTGTATTAAACAGTGGTGTTGGAGAAACTAGGAAGAGGAGAAGGGATGTTGTACAGAATATCGAGTCTACGGTGAAACATGCTAAAACTTGTCCAAGTCCCTTACCTCCAGAACCTCACAGGCAAAGTGTGCAGACTTTTTCTAGTCAAAAAGCAGAAACTGAAAACATTGTAAAAGTTAGTGAACTTAATAGAACCAGAATTCAAGATGCTGTCAGATTGAAGCCTGATGTGCCAAAATTTACTGATTTGACAGTTGGAGCATTGGGCGCAAGTAATAATGACAGTAATGAGGATTTAGAATATGAACTTAGTGATGAAGAAACAGGTGTAAATGATGGCCTTGAAGAAGTGAAAGATGATATTAAAAATGTTGGAAAAGAAGCAACTAGAGACAAATCAGAACATGAAATAGTTATAGAAGAGAAGGAATTAACGGTAGAGAATAGTCAGCCTAGAGATCCAAAAGTAAGATACTCCAAGTTTTAAACCTTTATACTCTACTATATATATTATATGATATACAAGGCTTTTTTTTATTGATAGGGGTAGGGGCACGTTCGTACATTTTAAGAAAAAAAATAATATGGTACTTTTGCAAAATGGGCAAGTAAAACAAACGGGATGTAAAACTGAACTTAAAGGGAATTTGCATGATTTTAAAGAATTATTTTCAGAGGGGAATTATAGGCCTATGTATAACCTACCTACTGTTACCTCCCCTGCTAAAGATTAAAAAAGCCCTGTGATAATCTGCTTAGACTGCTATGGTAATTAAGGTAGTTTTCTTATTCAAACAAATTGTTATTTGAATATAAGGGGAATAAACTAATTATCTGAAGTATTTAAGGGACAGTTTGTGATTCCAACAAAAGCTGTACCTAGAAAAAAGAAAATTAATGAAATGATTTTTTAAAAACTTTGGAAAGTTCCGAACTGAACATTAGTGTAATAGTGAACATATTATGCTATAAGTGTTTTGTATCTAGTAGGAGGGTCTTATTTGATTTGTCAATTGATAGACCTCTATAGATATTTAAGTATGAATATCAGTTTCTCACAGCAAAAAGAGATGTTTAATATGTCCAACCATAGCTTACCACTGATGCACGAGTAAAATAAATGAAAACAAACAAAAATCAATTCATGCCATATTTTATTTAGTTCATGTATATATCTTTATTTAAAACAACATTTTTTCTGGACAAGACTATCAGGATCATTTTTAAGAAGAAAAAAAAATCAAAATATATGTACTAACTGAAAGTGAACAGTGCCAGCTGATCTTGGTTGGGCAGATGCTGTAGCCGCTAGCCAACTATGAAACACTGAGGAGCAGTTTCCTTATTATTGGTCGTGAACTTTTTCTATATGTTGCGACAAAATAATTGTACACTAGCTGCCAACATTTCAGAACTCGCAGTTACAAAGCCGCACCTTAGTTAGAGCTTTTGTTAATTCAGCGCATAGATCCGTTGTCTTTTAAATTGAATTAGAAAGGCTGCACACAAACAAAAATGCATCAAACCTTCTAAACTAAATACTTGTTCTTAAACGGCTTACCCTATATTGTTCTCCTAAATATTCTTTAAGCTGCATTAGGAAATGTGTAATTATGTAAGAGATAAGAAGTTAAAAACATTAAAGAAGATATATTAAATGTCTGTTTTGTTTGCCAGTCCATACTTAAGTACGCACTTTGTTGGCAAGTAAACCCTAAAGTGCAATTATTAGGACAATGAACTTTCAATGTACAGACTCAATCAAACCGAGTCTGCAATTCTTATGTTATTTTGTTGTGATTAATGCTTCCGAGGGATCACTTTGTTTCCAGAATTTTGTACTTCACAACAGCAGGTGTCAAGTGCCGTGTGGCAGCCGTAAAAAGTTGCCCCGTACTTCACTTCAGTGTTGTTATATTTTCTGGTCCTTCGGGATCATTGATGCCAACACTATAAAGTGTTGAGAATTGAGTACCGCTCAAGCTGGTGCTAGGGGGCGTGAGGGATGTTGCACTTATTCATTATCCATCATGTACAGACTCAATCAAACCGAGTCTGCAATTCTTATGTTATTTTGTTGTGATTAATGCTTCCGAGGGATCACTTTGTTTCCAGAATTTTCAAAATAGCAGTCTTTGTCTCTTTGACCTAAAGATATTGATATTACAAGAAATGACTTTAGCACCATATCCGTACGTTGCCATACATTTTTCCTTACGCTTTTTATGTGTTATTTTTAAAAGATGCACTTTCCTTTTTCAGATACGGAAAAAGAGAGATGCTTCCACCATGGTAGACAACAACGATGGAGACCGGATGTGCGTCACATGTCGGCATTTTGAAAAGCAAGCTATGATCATTGACGAAGGTCCTGGTATTGCCGATAAAGCTACTGGAGAACCAAGCACATACGTATGTGACATATGCGGAAAACAATTCATTCATCAGACGACATATAAACGGCATGTTCGATCGCACGAGATGGCAGCTTCCGGAAAAATTGAACGCGAAAAGAAATGGAAATGCAACGAATGTGAGAAAGTATTTGGAAGTGAGGGTAATCTTAAAGAACATGTTCACCAGGTGCATTTAAAGAAACCAGGAGAGTACATGTGTCATTTGTGTCCAAAATCTTACACACGTGTAACGCGTTTAGAAGGGCATCTGAATACTCACTATGGTATCAAACCATACACGTGCAAGTCGTGCAGCACTGCTTTTTATGCTAAATCATCTTTAATTGAACATCAAAAGAAATGTGAGGGAGGGATGATTGTAAGACATAGATGTCAGATTTGTTCCGAAAGGTTCGGCTCACAAATGGAGCTCAAACAGCATCGAACACTAGAGCATGCTAACGTGTTCTGTTCCGCCCCTTGTGGAAGGAAGATAAAGTGGAAGAGCTCGCTTAAAAAACATACGTCAACTTGTGCAAAATGTCAGGACATTGACGTAGCAAATATAATGATCTCAGGTGTTTGAATAATGGCATATGTTTAATTATTTCAAATTTATTTGTGATTTTAATCACAAAAATGCAGAAAGAAAACACGCATATTGTTTCAGCAAAGCGACCAATATTAATGTATGAAAAGTTTGTTAAACACAAGTGTATGGCGGCTATTTAACAAAGGATGAGTCAGTGCCGCAAAATGGCTGATGATATAAAAGTATTACTTAACTGAATCATGAAATCGCTCAAAGAAGTATTTTGCGTGTTGTTTTATATTAAATTATTTGTTTTTGTTGTAGGCGTTTGATTTTTAAATTCCAAGCTTTAAATGAATTCTTTTTTTTTTTTTTGAAATCACAACTTTTTTTGAGGGATAAATAAATTGTGGACATATTGACAGCATACCCTGAGATTCCCAAAGAAATGATCAACAAAGGTCTTGTATTACATGTATAAGTGGCAAGGTGATTGAAGTGTTTTTTTGGCTGGTTTTATGGCAGTTTCCTGTCTTATTGATGTGTTTTGCGTAGATGAACGCTCAACAGAAGAAGGTGTCACCAAAAGACCGGACACAAATGATTAACTATTGAGGAAATAATTATATCAATGGTTGAATAACATTTTCGCCCAAAATTAGTTCATGTAGAAAATTAGTTCATGTTCTACAAACTATTTAAACCCACAATATATATTTTTACCGATTCATATTTTGATGATCCATATAAGGCTGGTCCCCATGTAATTGTTCGTATTTCTTCTGAATATGATATCAATGTTTTGGATTTAAAATGACACCAGATTTTGTTTTATATTTCATAGAACTCTATATCGTTTTATGTGTGAAAATTCTCATTTGTCCTTGGTAAAAAAATGTACATGTTAATTCCAGCTCCAAAATTATGAGTTTTTGAGTAATTAAATGAATTTGATAGAAAACCTTCAAAACAGACTCACAAATAGAACCACATGGCAAGTGACGGAGTCTCAAAGTGAATTAGTCTATAACAGAATGTATTTTAACACAATGTATAATTACGTTGATGGTATTTAGTATTGAAGAATAAACAAACCACTAAAGAATTATACATGGAAGTTGTTGGCAGTAGTGAGATACATATTGCGATAATTTACATATTCAAAATCAGTAAAGAACTTTTTCAAGCAGTTTGTTTGTTGGGTTTTATATCACATGGACACATTATAGGTCATGGCGACGTTCCATTTACTGGTGGAGGAGGACCTTGGGTGCCCTTTCGTGCATTATTTCAGGCACGAAGAGCACCTGAGTAGAACCACCGACGTTCGGTAAGCTAGCTGGATAGCTTCCTCACATGAAAGAATCCAAAGTCCCTGTCGGGATTCGAACCCACGGCTGTGAGGGGCAAGTGGTTTGAAGTCAAGTTTGAAGTTTTATATTTCAATAAATTTTGAATAATCAAAAGCGAGATGCTATAACTCAAAGAAATGTATATAAATACATTTATTTTTTAACAAAATACTTTTTGACCACGTTACGATGATACACAGTTGTGCGTGTTTAGAAAATTACAGAAATTGCATTTCACAAATTTGAATATATAAGTTTGTAATCTTTGTATGTTAGTTATAATGCATATTGACTATTCTTGAATAAATTAATGTGTTTATTTAATAAAAAATCCCAATATAATTGCAAATTGATCATTGGTTTTGAAATAATTTCATTAACATATCTAATTAAAAAGAACATTTGTTTTTGCTCCGCGCCCCCGCCATTTTATTTATTAAATCTCGCTGCTTCATGCCCCCGCGGGGCAAAGTTTTATTCATTAAACTTCATCTCTCGCTAATTAGCGTGTTTGCTCTCTATGCCCCCGCCTTTTTAACTTGTTAATTTAACCTCGACTTTTCGCTTGGCGGGGTCGCGGCGGGGGGGGCAAAAACACGAATGGCACAAATCAGCCACCATAGATACTTGTGTATCAAACCAATTTCATGTTACAGTTCCAAGTATGGGGATATCAATATACATGTAGTTCCAAAATTTAATCTATACACAATCAGTTTTGTAGAAAACTTCTATAATTATATGTGCCCTGGGACATATCCCAGATGTGCCTCAAACTACAATTACATGTATGGTGTTAGGAGAACGAGGCTGTCTACCTATGTGTATCATGCATTTCTTCATAGTTGTAAATGTACCAATTTTAAAATTTTTTGTCAATGTAGCTGGTATAATTCTCGAACTTATGTAGAAAACTTCTATAATTTGTTATCAACTTGGAATGATGAAACTCTTCGAAAATTATCTACATATATCCATTATATTATGGAGTGTATTAAAAGTTAGTAGACAATGACATAAATACTACTATATTGACTGTATGACATAATAATTAATTACTGCTGTTTTATTGTTTGATATATATTTTGAGCCGGAGCCTTTAATTATGTGAGTTAAAGACGATAACGATGACTAGTTTCGGCCGAGTTTTTAACCAAACCGAGACAACAACAACAACGAAGCGGTGCTCTAGTAAATATCTCACATGTTTTCTTTTCAATTAATCTGTAAAAAGCATCGTTTTCTCCGCTTTATATGGTAATTGAGTTTATTTTAAAATTTATACCCAACCCCGTTATTTTTTAATATTTTTAAAAGTAAAAACCTAGTGCACTTTGGAATTTTTCTAAAAAATACCCTGAAATTTCATTGCGTGTTCCAGCTGTCTGGAGGGCCAAATCCCTAACCAGAAAAGGCGTTTTCTGAAATTTTGGGGACAGTTCTTACCCCCCCACCCAAAAAAAATATGGTTTTTATGATTAATTTTTTTTTAATTTTTTTGCAAAAATTTTGGGGGTTTAGGATTTTGGTAAGGGGGAAAAAAACCCCTTTTGGTTAAATTGTTGAAATTATCGGAAGTAAAAATTTTTTCCCCAAATTTTCAGTTTCAGTAAGGGCCTGGAGACAAAATTAAAATTTATTAAAAAGGCGCTGTACGAAACGAAAAATTTCTGGCAAAAGGGAAACCGTATGTAAAAAGTTTTTGGTTTTAAACCCTTTGGCAAAGGGTTCAAAAACCCCAAAGTTCCCCAAATCCCCCAGTTGCTAGAGCCCTGCAAATTAGCAGGTTAACCCAAGGATTATGGATTTACGGGGGTACTTTACATGTATGTAGGGCTTTTTCCTTCCTTCCATGGTTATGGACCCTTCACAGGGGGTTAAAATTTTGGGTATTTCCCATTTTTAAACATGTTCACTGGTTTATAGCGTTTCCACCCCCAAATTGCCTTTTTTTAAAAAATAAAAAAATTTTAATTGTTTTACACACGGAAAAAAAATTTTTGCCAGTAAAAATGTTTAAAATGATTTGATCAAAAAAATAGAATTCCCCAAACCCTTTTCCGTGGTTGCAAATATATTTTTTCAAAGAAATTGATGTAGGGACGGGGGTTCTTTATTGGCAGGGGGTTCAAATGAATTCCCCAAAGGGTGTTGTTTTACTTTTAAATGTTGCAAGTTCTTAAGGTTAACTTTTAAGAATGGGCCCAAAATTTAAAAACATATTAATACTTTTACAAATTTTAAATTTGCTGTGTTAAATAGGAAAAAAATTTTTTCTCTGTTTGATAAATAACTAATAAAAATAGTTTGCCCCTTCTGTAAAAATAAAACTGTCGGGACAAAAAATTTTAAAGGGGGGAAAAAGGGGCAAGGGGGGGGAAACTGCTGGGAAAAATTCGGGTTGAAATTACTAAATTTTAAAGCAAATGTTAATTTGTCAATTTTGAAATTTTATTTTTCAGTGTTAAAACAAAGGGGTTTTTTTCCCACATGAAGAAGGGGTTTCCCTTTACTTATGGTGATTTACGAACAATGGAGCAAGAGTCTTGTTTTTAAAAAATTTTTTTGGGACAATGGTTTGGGATTTTGAAAACCAGGATTGTTACATTTAAATAGGGATTGTCCCTTTGTTTTTTTAAAAAAATTAGTAGGGCCTTTTTTTCAAAAAAAAATTCTAGATGCTTTTCTCTTTGATAGCTCTCATTCTTACAGTGCTCAACATTAAATATATCTTTTATAGGGGAAAATATACTTATTTTGGGCTAGGGGAAAATAGCCTTTATTCGAATGTAAAATATAGGGAAAAAAATCACTGAGTCTTCCTAGAATGGGTTTGAGCACTACTTTGGCTAGCACCTAGTTTCTTTATGTCAGTATAGGTTAGTTAATGTTCAAAAGTTGCAAAAACAAGTTTCACAATCTGGCATAAACATGTTAATTGTTTAAACTAAACCAATATCTATGAAAAAATGATAAAAAGTTTTTTTGGTTATTTTGTTTTGAAATTTACTGTATCAAGATACTGTTTTATATTTTAGATTTATCCTACACAACAGATAAGATAGGCCCAGCTGCAGGTACCTTTGCAAATATTGCTAGGGATGAAGAATTTCTCAACAACCCAAAGTCAAAGACTCAGGATGAGCTTGATGGTAAAAGGAAGGTACCTCCACCACCACTTGCAAGTACACCACAGATAAAACGATCCAGACTGATTTTAAATCAGGCAATGAACACTTTGAACAAAGCGAATGAAACTAAACCTGAATCTGTGAAAGCAGGGAAAGAAAAATCTGTCAGTAAAGCAATGAGTCCAGTAACTGTTCAAGATATAGATGAAAATTCGAAAGCAATCAAAGTTGAAGTAACAGACTGCGATGATGAGTACGACCCTAGTGGTAAATATATGCGGAACACTGGTGATGACTCGTCGATGAATGATGACTATAATGATGATACAGACGTGGAAGATAGTTATGGGCCTGGTGGTGGAACATTAGGGGATTCTCAGATGAGTGGTTCATCCGCTGTAAATGTTGATGAAGATGAATCGAATACACCTGGCAAGCATAAACTAGATGTAAGAATATTATTATTTTTATTTTTAAAACTTGATTTGTTGAAACTTTCAAACCACTTGCCCCTCACCGCTGTGGGTTCGAATCCCGACAGGGACTTTGGGTTCTTTCATGTGAGGAAGCTATCCAGCTAGCATACGGAACGTCAGTGGTTCTACTCAGGTGCCCATTCGTGCACAGAAGGCCACCTGAGGTCTTCCTCCACCAGTAAAGCTGGAACGTCGCCAACTAACCTATACTGTGTCGGTGTAAAACCCAAATAAATAAACAAACAATAATTGAAGCTTACAATGTAAATATATGTTATTCTTTTGAATTGTTTATACATTATTTTGTTAAAAGCTTCAAATATCGTATCAAGTTTTTTTTTCCTATTTACTGTTGATTAATTTGACATATGAAATTGAAAATTTGAAATTGGTCAGCCAAAGGTCGTGTCAGACTGCTCAGAACTCGTTAGTGGTAGCGAAAACTAATCACTTTAGGGTTTAATCAGCTCCAGTAGGTTAAAGGAACTCCACTGAGGTCCAAAAGATTTAAAACATTAAAAAAATTGACTTTCTTACATTTATATCAGCTGGGGCATAGAAAGATATGTAAAAGATAATTAAGAAATATTGCATTTTCGTGATTTTATTAGCTGGATTTGAGTAAAAAGCATTGCCAAGCTTGTTAATTTTGGTCAATTTTGGGTATTTTTCAAAATTGGAATAACTATTCTGGAAAAAATAGTGTGAGCGAATGATATGCAATTTTGCACACAGGTTATTGGTTTATATATATAATCTACATAAAACAGAACATTAATCTCGAAAAATTATTTCAAATTCTGTAATGTCAAATACCTTCAATAGAGTCCCTTAAAAGGTTTAAAACTTTTTCTTAAAATTTTGTTATTTGAACAAATCAGGTATGCCTTTTCAATAGATTAGTTATCTTTTTCCTGTACCTATCAATATACAGGCTATTTTTAGAATATTATTGGCTATGAAAGCAATTCTATTTTGAAATTGATTGTATAACATATGAAATTGCTTGTACAATATAATTTAGATTTTATATAATTATAGAAGATAAGGTGAGAAATGAATGTTCTTTGGTGAATCACAGGCTTAATTTCTTTACCTACTGTTACTCATGAACATGCTTTTACTAACTCAAATGTTGAGCCTTTTAAACATAATGCAATGACAATTTCTATTTCCATGTAGATGACGTCTAATCACAGTAATGACTTTGGGCACGAGTACTACCGCTCAGAACAAGAGTTCATCCTTAAGCAGGGATTGAACTGGACTTGTGGCTATAAGCCTGCAATCAAATGTACATTTTGTCATAAAACATTCACCTCTCTAAGTGCGAGAAAACGACATGAAAAAACTGTGCACGCCATGGAAAAGAAGTTCCAATGTGAACATTGCACTGAAAAATTTGCGTATAAATGGCTTATGGAAGCACATGCTGCAAAAAAGCATGGTATAGGAAAACTTTTCACCTGTGCGTGCGGGCAGACATTTAATCGCCAGAGTAACCTTACGCAGCATGCGACAATATGTAAAGAAGTTCAAGGACCAGGGAACGAGACGGTGTGCAAAGTTTGTACTAAGCGATTTAAATGTAAGAAATATTTAGACGTGCATATGAAATTTCAACATGACATTACAACTCAACCGTCAGTTTGCAATATCTGTGGAGAGTCATTTACACGACCCTGGTCATTAACGAGACACTTAAAGAGAACACATGCTATTGTAGAATCTTTAAATAAGGAAACCGATTCCAATACTGCCACAAATACATCTGGTAAAGAGGGGGAATCAGATTCTGATACAGAAATAACAAATAAAGAGACAAAACAAAGTACAAAGAAAGTTAGTCACGGTACTAAAAGAACACGGTCTGATAGTAATAAATCAAACTCTGTAAGTGCAGATGTGCAAAATGAAAAGATAAATCTGTCATCAGAATCAAGTCTTACGAACAAACAGACAGAGAAGTTGTTGCCTGATAAAGACACTAGTTCTGAATCTAATGCAGATTTTGTTGAAGATAAAAAAACAGACACAGATTGAAAATAAGGGTCTAACCAAGATAACAAGTTGTTATATCTTATATTGTGCAATAGCTTAGTATTTTAGCATTTAGTATTTTTAGAGGTTTAAAAAGTTTCAGACTTTTTAAGACCAACAAAAAAGTAATAAATCTGTTTCAGGTGTCCAGCAAAAAAAGAAGATTTTGAGTTGTTTAGAATGGTGCTTTTATGTTTACATTTTATTTTTACCAAGCAAAAAATTTGTTCATTCATTACCTGTTTTATCCAACCAATCACTAGATTTCTTCGAATAATGTGACCATACAAATATATATTTTTCAGTATTCATCGCATATATGCGTAAAATCTGTCTCCCAAAGGATGTTTCTTTTCAGAGATTGTACTTTATAACAAGAGGATATGTACTTTTTGACAATTAAAAATTTCAAAAACAGAGATGACTCTATTTTATAAAAATGTAGCACAGTTTATAATTTATTTGTTTATCTGGTAAGACAATATTCATGACTTATTCATTTTATAATTTATCTATCATTGACCATTACCTTGCCAGCTTTGTATACTGAATTATTCCTGTTTTGAATTTAGATATGCCAATTGTACAAATTAGGGGTTAAAATATTTATATTAAGGAGCAAATAGTGTGGCCATTTATTTTACTACTGTTATACTTTACAATTCAAAATTTGTTCAATAGACTTGCCCTGTTTTGAGTTTGGAATAGTCCATTGTAACAATGTTTTTCTTTTTCAAAATGTTAAATTATTAATCCAGCATGATAGTCTTGTTATTAGGGCTTAAACCAGTTTTTAGCTCACCTGTCACAAAGTGACAGGGTGAGCTTTTGTGATCGCTTTTCGTCCGGCGTCCATCCGTCAGTCCGTAAACTTTTGCTTTAAATGACATCTCCTCATAAACCACTAAGCCAATTTCATCCAAACTTCACAGGAATGTTCCTTTGGTGGTCACCTTTAAAAATTGTTCAAAGAATTTAATTTCCATGGCAGAACTCTGGTTGCCATGGCAACCAAAAAAAAAACTTTAAACATTTCTCTAAAAAACCCAAAGAGCTAGAGCCTTAGATATTTGGCATGAAACATCTTCTAGTAAGTGTCTACAAGTTTGTTCAAAGAAAAGCCCTAGGGTCAAAAACTTGGCCCCGCCCCAGGGGGTCAATGATTTTCCCTATATGCATATAGTAAAAACTTAAAAAATCTTCTTCTAAAAAAACCCAAAGAGCTAAAGCTTAGATATTTGGCATGAAAACATTGTTCTAATGGATGTCTACCAAGTTTGTTCAAATAAAAGCCCTGGGGTCAAAATTGGCCCCGCCCCCCAGGGGGTCATTGATTTTCCCTATATGCATATAGTAAAAACTTAAAAAAATCTTCTTTTAAAGAACCCAAAGTGCTAGAGCTTAGATATTTTTGGCAATGAAACATGTTCTCTAATGGATGTCTACCAAGTTTTGTTCAAATAAAAGCCCTGGGGTCAAAATTGGCCCCGCCCCAGGGGGTCATTGATTTTCCCTATATGCATATATAGTAAAAACTTAAAAAAAATTTCTTTTTAAAAAACCCAAAGAGCTAGAGCTTAGATATTTGGTATGAAAACATGTTCTAATGGATGTCTACCAAGTTTTTCAAATAAAAGCCCTGGGGTCAAAATTGGCCCCGCCCCAGGGGGTCTTTGATTTTACCTATAGGCATATAGTAAAAACTTAAAAAAAAATTCTTTTAAAACCCAAAGAGCTAGAGCTAAGATATTTACCATGAAACTCTTTCTTATGGGTGTCTACCAAGTTTGTTCAAATAAAAGCCCTGGGGTCAAAATTGGCCCCGCCCCAGGGGTCATTGATTTTCCCTATATGCATATAGTAAAAACTTAAAAAATCTTCTTTTAAAGAACCCAAAGTGCTAGAGCTAAGATATTTAGCATGAAACATGTTCTAATGGATGTCTACCAAGTTTGTTCAAATAAAAGCCCTGGGGTCAAAATTGGCCCCGCCCCAGGGGGTCTTTGATTTTACCTATAGGCATATAGTAAAAACTTAAAAAAAATTCTTTTAAAAACCCAAAGAGCTAGAGCTAAGATATTTACCATGAAACATCTTCTTATGGGTGTCTACCAAGTTTGTTCAAATAAAAGCCCTGGGGTCAAAATTGGCCCCGCCCCAGGGGGTCATTGATTTTCCCTATATGCATATAGTAAAAACTTAAAAAATCTTCTTTTAAAGAACCCAAAGTGCTAGAGCTAAGATATTTAGCATGAAACATGTTCTAATGGATGTCTACCAAGTTTGTTCAAATAAGAGCCCTGGGGTCAAAATTGGCCCAGCCCCAGGGGACATTGATTTTCCTTATATGTGTATAGCAAAAACTTAAAAATCTTCTTCGAAAAAACCCGAATAGCTAGAGTTTAAATACTAAGCATGAATCATCTTCTAGTGATTGTCTACCAAGTTTGATCAAATAAAAGCCCTGGGGTCAAAATTGGCCCCGCCCCGTGGGTCATTCCTTTTCCTTATATGTGTTATACAAAAACTTTAAAAAATCTTCTTTGAAAAAACTCAAATAGCTAGAGTTTAGATATAAAGCACGAAGCATCTTCTAGTGACTGTCTACAAAGTTTGTTCAAATAAAAGCCCTGGGGTCAAAATTGGCCCCGCCCCGGCTGACATTGATTTTCCTTATATGTGTATAGCAAAAAATTAGAAGTCTTCTTTGAAAAAACCCGCATAGCTAGAGTTTAGATATTAAGCATGAAACATTTTCTAGTAAGTGTCTACAAAGATTGTTCAAATAAAGCCGTTGGGTCAAAAATGGCCCTGCCCCAGGTGTGTCATTGTTTTTAACTATATGTGTAAAGAAAAAAACTTGACCAGCTAGACCTTGGATGTTAAGCATGAAATATCTTCTAATGGGTGTCTACCAAGTTAGTTCAAATAAAAGCCCTGGGGTTTAAACTGGCCCCGCTCCAGGGGCCTATATACAGGTGAGCGACTTCAGGGCCATCATGGCCCTCTTGTTCAGTGAACTGTTAATTTATTTTACATGTTGTTAAAGCAGTACACCTCTAAGAGTTTTGCTAATTATGTCATTAAATTTGTATGTTATATAATAAAAATATTGATAAGTGAATAAATAAAGCTATTTAAGCTAGCTAAAATCACTTACAATCCACATAAATTTCTGAAAATGTCAAAAGATATTTAAGAATACTCTGTTAGTAAGAACTTTAAAGTTTGTTTTTTTGTTTATTTTTCAAAGAAATAACTTTTTCAGTTTAAATATACATGTAATACATTGTAACTCATCAGATTATACAGTATTAAATTCTGTTTGAATATGTGCAATGTACATAATACATTGTTAAATGGTTACTTATAATAAAAGTTATCGTGTACATGTATGTTAATAAATTTAGAGAAATTAATGATATAAATTAATTGTTGTAGAATTAAATCTGAAATTTTGTGACTGTTTCTTCATTTTATCACATGTGAGTGTAGTAAATTCTTAAAGAACATGGTCCAGAATTATTCTTTAATGAACTGACAGCCACTGCATTTTTAAGATGTCTGAAAAAGAAAGAAAATCCAGGACCCACCATTTGCCATGATGTTGATACTGCAAGCCTAAAAACATTTGGAATAATTGGACTACAAGTACTTGGTCACATGAAATCTTGTGCACTAAGTGTTACATATGAGACAAGCACTAAAGCACAGACTATAAGACACAAATTTAGCTTGAACTAGGCTCTACCATGTTTCCCCAACAAATTTTAAACTGGGAGCCAGATATTCCTGATCATGTTGACGGCCAGTGTTTGATTCTTTTTCTTGAATATTTATACAAAATTATTATTCAGTTAAGAAATTTGATGTTTATGTTGACAATATTTATTGATTTTAACTTAAATTTATAACAACAGAATGACATAAGGGGCAAAGGTATTTGATTATTTATGGACTTAAGTATTCAGTTCATGCCAGATAACATGGAAGGACAATTAAAGCAATATATTCAGGAAAACAGTTTATTTTTTTTCTTTGAGATAACATGCAAATAACACATTAAAATACATTCATAATTGTTCAAACATGATCAATTAAGACATTTTTATTACAAACAAGCCATTTGTATACATTATATGTAACTTTTTACATTGTAAACTACTTATAACAACACAACTTTAATATAAACAAATTATCATAACAATCATCATCATATGATCATATGAATATTTTAACATATTTTTTTTTGTAATTTTTTACTAAGATTTAAGGACCTTTATTTGTTTGAATATTATTCACAAATTCAGTACTATGTAACAATCCTGAAAACCTGAATACAAATAATCTTACCAATATTTTACAGACCCATATATAACTTGGCTTGACTGTCAGTCTGTCCATTAACCACATCAAATGCATTCAATTACTTGGTAACTATAAGGTAAGCTGTCAGCATAATTAGTGGGGAGGTTGTCATGGCCAAAATATGGCCCCGCCTATTGATTTGAGGTCAAAGGTCAAGGTCATAGTGACACTAAGTGTAAAATCCTTGCCCTCTCAATTAAGCCTTGAGTTTGTGAGACTTTGAACCAGATGATCCGGTTGGGGTTAAAGTCATTAACCATAGGTGAAAGTTTTCATATGGGGCCTCCGTGGCCGAGTGGTTAAGGTCGCTGACTTGAGATCACAGGTCCCTCACCGCTGTAGGTTCGATCCTCACTCGGGTCGAAATCTTTCATGTGAGGAAGCCATCCAGCTGGCTTACGGAAGGTCGGTGGTTCTACCCAGGTGCCCGCTCTAGCCCGGAGGGGCACCCGGGGTCTTCCTCCACCAATAAAACTGGAAAAAATCGACGAAAAATCTAGGCGGGACGCTCTAGGATGGCCCGACTTGAGTGTACGGTCGCCCATATGGGCCTTCCGGCGGCAACCTTAAATAAACGCATTAAAAAAAAAAAAAAAAAAAAGTTTTCAAGATAACAGTGGAGTTTTTGTCTTGTTTGGGGTTATTTTTTGTGAAATGTTTAAATCTGTTGAGAAATTGAGTGGGTATGTCGTCTGATATAGTGATGTCAGTCAAAGTCGGTTGGCAATAAGACATCAATTTCTATTTGTATGTAATTCTGATAATTACATTCCTTAAGAATGAAATGTACATATCTAGATATAAACTGCAGATTTTCCTTTGTTTCAGTAAATAACTGCCTTTTAAACAAAGAAATTAACCAAAATTTGGGCACCTACATTTTACTTTTTGGTCACTATAGATAAGGGTTTCCAGGTTTTTTTATACTTTCAAACTGTGGTAAGGAAGCTGAGAAGAGAGATGAAGTTCTTGGAATGAAATTCTGATACTAAGTGATTAGGAAAAGGTTAAAAAAAAACAACTGGTGATAGAAAATATATGACAAGGGATGTACAGGGTCAGGAATTTGAAGAATGGTTGAACAAAGTAGATGTTCCTCTGTCCTTTTTGATAGACACTTTAGATTATACATGCAATATAGCAAGACCTCTGTTAATACTTCTGTAAATAAATATTAGAATAGTCTATTGAGATTGAGTTTTTAAATACCGTACAATGGCACCAATGATTTAAAAAGAAATTAATTAATATTAATATAATTAAAAAGTTTTACAAAAATTTATCAAATGCAGTGTTGGATTTAAAGTTTAAGATACTGTTAATCTGGAATTTAATTGCAACAACATTGTCCTTATCATTAACACTGATACAGTGACAATATGGCTCCAGGATTACCAGCTTTTCCAGCATTTTGTGTGAATGAACCAGGCGTTGACAACAGATGGAAAAAGAATGGACCTTTAGATTTGAAAATCTCATGATCGGTATGCTGACATAAAAAGACAAAAACCATCGGAGAGCACTTTTTCTTCACTATGCAGGGGGAGAAGTAGATGATATCTTTGAGACATTTCAAGACACAGGGGATGACTATGAAACAGCAAAAACG